CGCCAGATGATGGAACGCGGAATCGTGGAAAGCGTCCAATGGTGTGACACGCGGGATATGACTGCCGATGGTCATACCAAAGGTAGTATTGACCGCGCGTTGCTCCTACAAGTAATGGCCGGCCAGCAATCCTTCAAGCACGAGCTGAAGAAACATACGCCGTATAGGGCGGGCAGGTCGTCTCAGGACGGCCCTGCCTCCCGAGCCAGCGGGGAAACCCGCGGGCAGGTGCGCTTTAGTAGCGAGGAAACTCGCCGGTAGCGAGGCTACTCGCGCGCCCTTTCCTTGTAGGCAGCCGCTGCTGCTTAGCACTGTTTTTTCCGCATAATGTAGAAGTGCGGTACCTGCTCGTCTCCTCCCCCTCCGACTTTAAACGGAGAAGGTTAAAGGCGAGGTATAAATCGAGCATGTACCGCTGCCGTGCCTGGCTCAAGCCGGGCCCGGCCAAATATATGACTGTGCCTCACTGAGGCGCACGACTTGCATCAGAGATCGGAAAATGACCGAGGCCCACTATCGATACCCAGATCCTGATCCCATGCTTCGTCTTGCACTCTTGCTCATGCGATATGAGCCAAAGCCTGGGATATGGCAACGCTTAAAGCGTAACACATACCTAAGCTTACCAGCTTGTTTTCGACTCCTCCTCCTGCTCCTCCTTCTCCTGCTCCCCCTGTTGGTGGGACCCCGGACAAAAAAATCGCCGGCCCAACGGGCCAGGGTACAATATATGGTGACTGGTTCAGAAGTTCTAGTTCGCGCGCGCGGGGCCGCCCTTGGGGGTCCCCGGTCGAAAAGCACCCTGGCAAGTCCGCCTCAGATGGTTTTGCTCCTGAGCGCTGCCTTCAGGGCCGCCAAGAAAGCCTCAAGAAGGGCCGAGATGCCCCGAAGAGGTCGTCAAGATCATCTCAGAGGGCTCCAAGACGCCACAAGATCGCCCAAGAGGGCCCAAGAGGGCCCCAAGACGGCCCCAAGGAGGCCCAAGAGAGGAAACACGAACCACCAATTCGAGCCTTCCGCCCCAAGAGGCCCCCACGAGGCGCCAAGAAGCCCCCAAGAGAGCCCAGGAGGCCCCCTGGAGGCCCCACGAGGCCCCCAAGAGGCCCAAAAAAGAGGCCCCCAAACGGCCCGAACGAGGCCCCAAGAGGCCACGAACGCGCAAACAAACGTCTACGATGGCACCATACGGGCCGGCGGAATGAGCGAAGCGATTAACCCCCTATTGGTCCGTTCCGTTCCGTTCAGTTCCGTTCCAATCCTTCAACATAGCCGCCGACAAAAACATGATCGACCCACGAACCTGGAAAGGAATATAGGAATGTAGAGCATGGAAACGTTTTCAAAGACACCTGATTGGGTGACGGGCAAGTGCAATGCTGATTGTATCGATCTTGATGTACCGTGCCGAAGTCTGTGCTGTGCTGCACCGTCCTGAATTGCGATGTGCCATGCCGCGGTTGTGCTCTATAGCGTCGTGGATCGAGTCATCCTTTGCATCCGAGTCCTGACCGAACTGAGCTGGATCTTAAGCTCGAGCTGCTTGAACACATAGAAGCTGCCCCAGAGCTAATTGACAGGGGGACATGCCAGGAGGACGCGCCGCGAAATGTCCCAAGGGACGCGCCAAGCGACGTGCCAGGGGACGTGCCATGGGGTCGCACCGTAGGACGTGCCAAGGGGACGCGCTACAGAACGTGCCAAAGGATGTGCCACGGAATGTGCCAGGGGACGCGCCACGCGACGTGCCAGGGGGACTCGCTAAGGGACGCCCCACGGAACGTGCCAAGGAACGTGCCAGGTTGCAATGCTGATTGTATCGATCTTGATGTACCGTGCCGAAGTCTGTGCTGTGCTGCACCGTGCTGAATTGCGATGTGCCATGCCGCGGTTGTGCTCTATAGCGTCGTGGATCGAGTCCTCCTTTGCATCCGAGTCCTGACCGAACTGATCTGGATCTTAAGCTCGAGCTGCCTGAACACATAGTATCTGCCGCAGAGCTAATTGACAGGGGGACATGCCAGGAGGACGCGCCGCGGAACGTCTCAAGGGACGCGCCAGGCGACATGCCAGGGGACGTGCCATGGGGACGGCGGGACGCCAAGCGCGCTACGGAACGTGCTGGGGACAAGCGTTTCGCTCGAGACATCCTGTCAAAATCCTCATTCTAGACATCCGCCTGAGCGACCTGGACACGTGAAAACAAACGTTTCGCTCAACACATCCTCAACACATTCTCATGCGAGACATCCGCCTGGGCGAACTGGACACGTGAAAAGAAGTAGTTCGCTCGAGACATCCTCATCACATCTTCATGTGAGACGTCCGCCTGGGTGACCTGGGCACGTGAAAACAAGCGTTTCGCTCGAGACGTTTTCGACACCTCCTCATTCTAAAAATCCGCCTTGGCGACCTGTACACGTGAAAGCAAACGTCTCGCTCGAGACATCCTCAACACATCTTCATGTTAGACATCCGCCTGGGCGACCTGGACACGTGAAAAAAAGCGTATCTCTCGAGACATTCTCAACACATCATCATGCTAGCCATCCGCCTGGGCAACCTGGACACGGGCAAACAAGCATCTCGATCAAGACTTCTTCAACACTTCCTCATTCTAGACATCCGCCTGGGCGACGAGGACTCGTGAAACCAAGCGTCTCGCTCGAGACATCCTCAACAAGTCCTGGCGCTTGACCTCTGCCTGGGCAACCTGGAGGCGTGAAACCAAGCGTCTCGCTCGAGACATCCTCAAGACCTGGGCACGTGAAACCAAGCATTTCACTTGAGAGATTCTCTAAATTCTGGTCCCCAGGAGAGGACAATCTATAACACAAAACAAGCCTTTCGCTCGAGACATCCTCAACAAATTCTGAAAAACAAGCGTTTCGCTCGAGACATCCTCAACTGTTTAATTCGCTGGCCCTCGGCGACCTCGTTATTTATCGCAAAAGAAATTCGCCGGCCCTACAGCCGTCAGATCCGGGGGCAAACTCCTAAAAGAGAACCCTGAGCCTGTGCCCTTTCCGGGAAATAGTTACTCCATATTGGGGGGGGGGTTCTAAAGACGTTCCAGGGTTACAGTCAACCCGTACAATATGCAAGGGCCTTGGAAGGCCATGTCGACACTTTGTGAGCGGGGCGCGGCCAGCGAAGGCGGCCAAGGATGGGCCGAAGGGGGAGAATGCAAGGGTGACCTTGGACAGTCGTTCATCCTTACTATATGCGGGTTGACTGTAGGAGGAAAGTCCTGGAAGCCTCGCGCGACAACCTCACACCCAAAATACGTCGGAACCACGTCGGATTTACGTCGGGTTTCCGTCGGATCCACGTCGGGTGTATGTCGGACTTGCGTCGAAACATCGCCGCGCGAGCGTCGCCCCATATCTTACGGGGAGGACGTGCGGACCATACAACAACCATTGCGCGCCGCGCGAGGCGTCTCAGATTCTCCTGCTAGCACCCCGTCTGCACAGTGAAACCCTGCCTCCGCCTCCCCACACCCCACCGAACCAGGAACAGAAATCACCGCGGCAAGTTCTGGGCCGCTTTCGGCCCCTGGGGGTCCTCACCCAGCCTGCGGGACCGTCGGAACAATGCTCGGGAGGAACACACCTGGCCCCGGGGGAAGGGGTCCAGACTCCCGGGGATGCCTGCCGCTGCCTGCCGCTCCCCAACGATCCGAGCGCCGCAGTGTTCGTCAACCCGGGCGATTGCGGCCGGTCTCGGGCCCCAGGGGCCATCGCAGATCGATCCGGCTCGAAAAGTGCCGCAGGAGGATGAGGACTGGGGCTCGGATCGTCCTTTGGCAGGTCTCGGGAACCCTGAGCTTGCAAGTTGTGCCATCTCTCGGGGGCGCATCTTTTAGTTCCGCCGCCTTCCGCCGAGTTTCCGGCGGAGCCGCCCTCGCTTTACTTCTGCCAGCTTCTGCGGAAACTCCGTCGTCTTCCGCCGAGGAAGAGATGGCATTCCTGCAGCCCTCGAAGGCGAGGCCCTCTCTGGAATGCCTCATCCGTCGCGACGGTACAGCCTTTGGGCAGCGTTGGCAGGGTCTGTCCCTCCCTACCGCCACGACGTCCTCCGCCCGTCCTCGGGCTCGGCCTCGCCGACCCCTGGCCAACCACCCCCTTCCGTGGCATCACCCTCGTCGGGAATCTGCTGGCCCGGGTCGATGCAAAGCTGGATCAGTCAGGCCGTGCAGGGTCCTGCAGGATCCTGCAGGATCCTGCACGCTAGCCCCAGGTCAGTGGACACCTGGCTCCGCAGTATCCTGCAAAATCCTGCGCTCTGACTGACCCCCATTTGCACTGGCCCCCGTCTCTTGAGCCCCGACCTTGCCTTTCAAGCTTCCCTCCGGCCTCACACATACGCCTAGGGCCGAGGCGAGGGGGGCGTCACGGAAGGGGATGGTCTGCTAGGGGTCAGTTAGGCCGCCCCTGACGTCCATAACAGGAGACGTGTCGCCCCCTATCCCAGGCGTTAGGTTTCCGACTGGATCAACCATGCAGGCCCTAACTCTGGGATGCACGATGGGTGCGTCCGTCCTCGATATGGGGTGCTTCCGAATAGCCCCCCTGGAGATGTATCCCTGAATTTTCTTCCTTTCCTGTCGGGGAGACGTAATACTCGGGTTCGGGGGAACCGAGTTGGCCTGAAGGGGCCATCATGAAAATGGCGAGACCCAACCTGAAATTTGACGCGAGCTCCCGCTGCAAACATCCCACGAAAACTGGACCCTCAAACTCCAGGACGCGCTCGTCAGAGAACGTCGACGTACCCCCGAGTTCCGGCGTCCTCGAGTCCTTCCGTTTCCCGATGCTACGAGCGGCCTCCCTGTCCGTCGGCCACGCCGAAGGGGGGGGGGAGACCATCGTCTGCGACCCGCGGCCTCCTCCCGCGAGGGAGGCGGGGCGCGCGCACGGGGCAGCAGAGCGCGGCGCATCGGCCGCCAGCGGCGGACGAGGAGGACGGACGACCACTGCGACGGCGGCGGCGACGACGGCCTTGCCCTCGTTGGCGAACCAGGCCTCCTGTGAGGGGGCCCAGGGGCACACTGACAAGGGGACACGAATCCCAGGATATCCCCCACATGTTCCATATTTTCTGGAGTTTCTGGATGTCCGTCTTCCCCTCCGCTTCCCGTATTTTCCGTATTCTCCGTCGAAGTGGACGACTAGTTGTGTCTGCATGTCTTTTCCCCTCCTGCTCCTGGAGGCGCGAGAGGCACCAGGAGTGGACCCGCAGCAGCACGAAGCTCTCCTCGCTAGAGACCTCCAGCAACTCGGAGGCGTCCATGATGCACCTATTTTTTCCCGCCGCAAGCACGGCACGATTGGCACCGAGAAGTCAGACGAAACACCTCTGGACAAGACGGGAACGCCACACGCGATGTCATGCACGGCGATGCGACAGAGGAGGGGCAGAGGGGGGAGGAGAGGTCGAGAGGACAACGAGACGTAGCCTGGCCGGCAGCGGGACGGAAACGGGGCGATGCTCAGGTACGAGCAAGAGGTCGCCAGAGGGGGGGGGGGGGGGGGCACCTGTAGAACTGTAAGCACGTTCGGGGATCGCGTCGACGTCCGAGAGCCCAGGAGACTGTCTGGTGACAGATGGCCGGGCGACCTCGAAGTCCCGAAGACCACGCCAAACGGTCTGTCACCCACGGGTCTGGGGGCCTCGGAGGCCCTGGGCGCTCGAGTCCCAAGCCCAACCGACCGCCTCCGATCATCACCTTTTACTTGGCGGAGGGTGTTGTCACCAGACCGTCTGGGGGCATCAGATAAGCTCGATGGTCCTTAGGTTTCTGGCAACTTGTGGGCCGGGGCCCGCCTCAAAACTTCTGGCGACAGCGAGCCCTGGGAGAGGTCTGGGGCCGGCTTCTTGAGGGGCAGGACCCTGGACCTCCAGCGTCGCGAAGGTAATCGTGACGAATGGTCTTTAAACGTTTCCGGCACAGGCCTCTCATGGTCAGGAGAATCGCGCCGCATCTCCGATGCATCGCCAATACATCGATGATGCATCGGCGACGTCGGCGATGCATCGGTGACGTCGGCGTGGAGAATCATGGGCTCCACATCGAGCCGCGTCACCGATTCATCGGCGATGTTGCGCGATCCTCCGACCCAATGTACTTCGACGACGGGCCCATTTGCTTCGACCACACCTGCCCATCTACTTCGACCCCCGCTGCCGGGCTCTGGGACAATCGAGAATAGGCACCAGTCAAAAGATGCGACCTGGGGGGAAATGTTACAGAGCTCCTGGGGGGGGCAAGGCCAAACGAACAATCACGGCGTCTGAGACTTGGGTCTGGCGAGCGCCCTCGTGGACCAAGGCCACGATCTAGGCCCAAAGAGCAACCGAACAGACCCTCCCTTCGGCGGCGAGCCCGGGGGGCGGAAGCGAGAAAGGGCGGGCCTGCTCAGAAGGCTCGGAAGGCCTCGGGCCTTCTGAGAAGATTTCTGAGCATTCCCTGAAGACGCTAATAACATCTCTGAAGGCCAGAGGGCTTCTGAGAATCCCCGCCGCCTTCTGAGAGGGCCTTCTCCTTCTCACTTCCCCCCAGGGCGCGCCGCCGATCCATATAGAGGAGGGAGAAATCCAAGACCTGAACGTCGATTGAGGTTTCGCCTGCCTGCGTGGCCTCAGGAGAGCCTCTTGCCCGCTGCCCCCAGCCCTCCGGGCCCTCAGGGTGACAAGGAGACCCAAGCGAACGGAGGGGGGCCTGACATAGCGTGCTGGCGTCGTGGCCACCTGCGGGGTGCTGACCCCCTCTTCGGAGGTTCAAAGATGGGGTCCTGAGGAATGGGGTCCTAGGGGCAGGAGGGGATCCAAGGGTGGGTTTACCCTGTTTGAGACACCTCGTTCTTAGGACCCCATTCTTCGGGATCCGATCTTTGAACTACCGACCTCTGTTCCGTGCTCTTCCTGGAAGGCTGCGGAGCCTCCCCCTGATTTTCCGTGTCGATAAAGGCCTTCGCAATGAGGTCCGAGTAGATAGGGTCGGAGGATCTCGCCGCAAACCGATGCACCGCCGCTGCATTGGCGCTGCACCGGCGACGTCGGCGATATATCGGCTCCGTCGGCGTGGAGACAGCAGGGCTCCACACCGGGCCGATTCGCCGATGGATCGGCGATGCGGCGCGATCCTCGGAGCCCATCTACTCTGACCACATCTGGGATGCCTAGAAGGGAAAACACACATCTGGCGGAGGATAAAATGTTCACCTCTCGTGACCCCCCTTTGTCTTCGAGCGGCCTGTGCTGCCTGTCTTTCAGCTCGGAGCGGTTCATGATGGCGTAGGGCGCCTTGCGCACCTCTGGGGGCTCTATGACCATCTGGTCGTCGCGGTTGTCGTCGACCCCATCGGAACCGATTTCCACGTCGCTGTCCTCCGGGATAGGGATCATAACCCGCCGCCGCCGCTAACTGGTCCTGCACGCAACCTGATGTTTGGCACAGATCTCCTGGTGGGCATGGCCTCTGGGCCAGACCAGGAATCGATATCCACCAAGTGTCTGGGCCCAAATCAGCCGACCACTTGGGGTTCATCGGCATGTGAGATGCTTCCCCCTCCCCAAACCCCTCCCCCAGGAGCCCGGTCAGGTCGATTTGGAGGGGGGGGGGTCCACCCTGGCTGGCCGGCCAGGGGGGACACTTTGCTTCAGAAATTCTGCTGGGGGGGGGGGGGCATCGAGGGCCTCAAAACGGGCCACGAGGGCAGCAAGAGACCTGCAAGACGGTCCAAGAGGGCCCCGAGTCGCCGAAACATCGTCCCAAGACGACACGGCCCAAGATGCCTCCAAGACACCCCAAAAGGCTTCGAAGAGACCTCCCAAGAGGGCCCCAAGAGGCCAAAATCGTTGATTGTCATGTGTTTTTCCAAGGTTGTTGGCTTTCTCGCCTTTTCGGGCTTCCGACGCTCGAAGATGGCCCAAGAGGCCCCCAAGACCGCCCCAAGACAGCCCAAGAGGCCCCCGAGAAGGCCCCAAGACGGCTTAAGACGGCCCAAGAGGGCCTCAAAACAGCCCAAGAGGGCTCCAAGAGGGCCCCAAGAGGGCCCCAAGAGGGGCCCAAGAAGGGGACCACAACCGAAGATTCTAGCTTTCCGCCCCAAGAGGGGCCGAAGAGGCCCTCAAGGGGCTCCAAGAGGCCCCCAAAAGACCCCCAAGAGGCCCAAAAGAGGCCCCAAGAGGCCCACAAACAGCCCCCTAGAGGCCTCCAAATGCTTTCTTGACGCTGGAGGAATTTGGGGGTGGGCCCTCCCGATCTCCTGCTCCTCGTACTCGAACTCCGAGGCGGAGTCCTGCGCCACGGACCCCCCGCTGTCCGACTCGTCCATCTTCTCCCGCGGCCCCACCCGGCTCGCTCAGACGACGGGTGCGGGGGAGGCAAGGGACCATCCGCAGAGGAGTAAAAACAGCATGCAGCATAACCATACCCTTCGGAGATCCGCGCGGATTTCTCGGATCGGCGCCCGACCCCCCTCCCTGGCGCGCGGAGCGCGCCAGGGGCGGCGCTGGAGTCGCCGCCAGGGGGGCCCAAGCGCCGATCCAAGAGATCCGCGTGGAACGTCGAACAAATATGTTTATGTTTATGCCGTTTCCTGTTCCCCGAATCCGAGAATCCCACTGCAACTAAGCCCTCTCGGCGTCTGAACCTGTTCTTTGGGGGTCCCCAAACCGTGTGGTGACAGACCGCGACCTTCCGCTGCCGGGTGGGCCAAGGAGCAGACCTGTCTGGCTGCCGAACGGGTCAGAGCCCCACGGGATTGCCGTTGCCGAGCCTGTGGGGGGCTGCCCACGACGGAAGGCATGGCCTGAAGGAAACCCAGACCCCTCGAGTCATGACATAAATCACGAAAGAAGATGTTTTGACCATCGTTTGTCCGATCCCCATCCCCAGCAGCGGCGTGGCCTGGGCCCCACTGACCGATTTACCCCCCTAGATGGGGATATAGGCCGTCCCATTCGGGTTTCGAAGGGTGTATCCTCAACTGGGGTGGTAATTTGGTGGGGGTCTCGAAGGGGATGAGGATGGGGATGGGGGTCGGTTAAACGATACTGATGTTTCTGCCCTTACCGGGCCTCGGGACCGTCAAAAACCGACGCAGGATGAAAAACCGGTCACAGTGAATGGGTCGAGTCCTCTGGGGGTCCAAAAAATCATGACGTCTGGGTCTGGGAACGAGTCCTGGACTACTGGGCCTCTCCTCAAAATACACTGTTGTCAAATGCTGCGCCGTGCTTTTGCACATCCTCGGGCTCGCTAAGGGCCCCGAAGGGGCCAGAAACGGCGACACAGAAGAGAGAGACCCAATCCCCTCACGAAGACAAGCCCCTGTCTTCGTCGCGAGCAGACACGCCTCTCCGCGCGACGCTCTTCTGGAGATATCCCAGATGGGGTCGGAGCAGATGGGACCGCAGGATCTCGCCGATTAGCCGATGTATCGGTAATTCTTCGGCGACGTCGGCGATGCATCGGCGGCGTCGGCGTGGAGAAGCTCACGCTCCACGTCGAGCCGCATCGCCGATGCATCGCCGATGCGGCGCGATCCTCCGACCCCATCCCGCCGGACCTCTACCCCCGTCCCCCAAAGCCCCCTCACCTCCCCCAGGCTGAGCGCCGCCGGCGCTGCGGCCTGGCCAGCTATGTGTGTTTATGTACAGCGGCCAGCCAGGCCGAAGCGCAGCGGCCGGGCGAGCGCGCGCCAGCGCGCGCGCGCGGCGCGGGCCGGGTCGCGCGCGGCGGGCGCCAAGTGGCTGCCGCGGTCTGGGTGCGGGGCGGCTGCGGAGGAATGGGTGGTTCGGCTGACGGAGGGGGCGAAGAGGCTAAGAGTCGGGGGCGTCCAAGAGGGGGGCTGCCAAGAGTGGGGTTGGCAGATCATGGTCCGAGGAACGTGCGCGGCCCAAGGGAGGGACAAGGGGTGCATTGAAACAAGAAGAGGCGCCGTGCAATCTGGGGAGACATCGAGGCCCTGGCCGTGATACCCACCCCACCTAGATATCACCCGCCTCCTGGCCGCATCGAAAACAGATCGGCGCCACCACCGCCATCGCGATGAGCCAGGGGGGCGCCTCCTGGTGGTGTGGTCCCCGCTCGAGACATCTGCAATCTCCACCAGCGCGGGAAAACATCGCGGACCTCCTCGTTGGAGGTAGCTTGCTGGCGGTGGTGTCGCTTCTTCTCCCTCTGGGAGTGGGGGGAACCCACACCGGGGATATGTCCAGATCCAACGATCTGGAGAATTGCCCCCAAGGACCTCGGGCAGCACGTGATACTCTTGCCCACTTGGGGTGGGAAATATGGGCCACCAAAATCAAAGCGGTGCCTCGAAACCGATCGGCGCATCTCAAAGGAAGCCCATCAGCTGCGGTGTGCCTTTGGGGTGGCTTTTGGCTGCATCCTGGTCCGAAAACAACCCCCGAACGCCGGAATCGCCAAATAAAGTCCGTCGCGGATCGTTCGCGATGCTTGCAGATCTGCGACCCCCTCTCCAAGTGGACCCCTGGGCCACACTCCGATTGCGATCCGACCAGGATTTCGAGGAGAACTCGGCCGTAGCGACGAGGGTCCTCCAGGAGGCCCCGAAAAAGCTAAGAGGGTCGAATCCCCTCCTGAGGGCGGCATGCAGAGGCACTTCGCACTTTCTCTTTCTCCTCGTCGTCGTCCTCGTCGGGCTCGTCGTCGTCCTCCTCATCCAGCATCGTTGTCGTGTTGAACGCCGAAGATGGCAACGTCCGCCTCCTGGTAAGCAAACCCGCAAACCCTTATCCTCCTCCATCATCCCTTTTCCCTCCTCATCATTCTCCTCCCCCCTCGAAGACTGGATATCTAAGTTCTCTCCCCGCGTTTGGCCCACATTGGGTCAGCGGAGGCCTCTGAAGAAAATTCCAGGTCAGATGACGAGGAGGAGTGAGAAGCAGCTAGACTTTCCAAAACGAGGAGGGCTGCGAAGGGTGGTGATGCGGAGGAAAGGAGGGGGCAGGAAGGATACGGGAGAGGGAGAGGAGTCTCGGCCTTCCCCCGCCCCTCCTCCCACCTCTCTGGTCCCCGCCTCGCTTCGATGCTCGCTCTCTCGTCGGCTTCGGCGAATTCTCTGGGAGCCCGCGGGAGCAGCGCGAAAGGAGGGCAGGATGGAGACATGGGGGGGGAAGCGGGAGTGGGAGAGAGGAGCGGGAGGGGCCTGGAGTAGGAGGGAGAGAGCAGAGAGGGGATAGGGAGCAGGAGTGGGGGGAAGGCAAGCAGGCGTGGAAAACGACGGGAGGCACGAGGATTGCGAGGGAAGGACGCGGGAGGAGAGGAGAGGAGCAAGAGGTTAGGAGGGAAATCCGCCGGCACCCCGCTTGCCAGGGTTGAGCAGGCGTGTGAGACATCTCGTCGGGCTCAGCCCCTGGGTGTGGTCGCGATGCCGCTCCGCGCCCACTGCCAAGTCGACCCAGCACAGGCTGGCCGCTCCGGCCACTCCTGCTGAGACTCTTTCCGCGGTGAGTGCCCGCCTCCCCCGCCTGCGTTCCGCGGCCGCCCTCCTCCTCCTCCTTCCCTCTCCTGCTGGCGGTGAATTGATACGCCACGCGCCCCGGGCGCCTAGAACGCGCGTGCGGGTCGCCTCTGCGGCGCTGCGACGTAAGAAGCGAAACATGTGGCTGTCCCCCCCGCTACCCCTGGTTTTTGCACTTGCCCGGGGGTTCAAGATCCTGCCAAGAGTGGGGGGGGGAGGGGGGGGGGGGGGGACTGGCGAGAGGGGGACGAGCTCGCCAACGCGTCTCCCGGGGGCCGGAGGGGGAAGGGGGGTAGGGCGGGGGGGCGGAGAGGGGTGGACTGGCGGGGGGGAGGGCCTTCATGAACACCACAACATACATGCAGACTGGACCCGGTTCTCGGCCCCCCACAGGTCTCAGAAAAGGCCCCCACGGGGCTCCACAAGGTTCCCGCCGACAGGCATCTCGTGACGCCCCAAGAGACATCCAAGAGGCCTCTGACCCACAACTCGGGCACGGTAGAGGCATCCTCTCGCCTCACCTCACCCTCCTCCTCCTCCTCCTCCTCCTCCTCCTCCTCCTCCCCAACCTCCTCTTTCTTCCCACCCATCTCCTCCTCCTCCTCCTCCTCCTCCTCCTCCTCCTCCTCCTCCTCCTTCTCTTGCCTCCTCCTCCTCCTCCTCATCTTGCCTCCTCCTGCTTCAACTCATGCCTAGCATCCCCTTTTGTTCCAATCCCCTCTCTTCGCCTCCCTCATTGTCTTCTCCTTCTTCGCATCCCAGTACTCCCCATCCTCCATTCCTTTCCGAGGCCAGTTTTTAGGGCGGGCCGGGCGTTTCGCCTGAGAATTCCTCACCATGTATGATTCTGGAGCTGAAAATTGGCTACCATTTCACAGATGGAGGGCGGTCCGTTTTTTGAATGTGGCTCTCGCCTTAGCGTGGCGCACATTCGTTTTAAACATTGGCAAGAACTTCACGGATTGAGGGCTGTTCCTTTTCAAAATGTGGCTCTCGCCTTAGCGCGGCGCGCATTCGTTTTAAACATTTGCAAGAGCTTCACGGATTGAGGGCGGGTGGTTTTCAAAATTTGGATCTCGCCTCAGCGCGGCGCATATGGTTTAAAGCATGCAGGAGTTTCACGGATTGAGGCCGGCTCCTTTTCAAAATTTGGCTCTCGCCTTAGTGCGGCGCACACTCGTTTAAACAAATTGCAAGAGTTCCATGGATTCTCATCATCAACGCGCCAGAAATCGTGTTTGGAACGGATTCAGGATCACGCGGGTGCAACAAGTATGTTGGTTCGCTGTGTTGAACTCCCATGAGTGGCGTTCTGGCACGATTCAGGATTGTCAAGACGCAACAGTCAGGTTGATCCGTGGCGCTGGAATCCCTAGAACAATGTTTTGGCATGCTTCAGGGTCTTCAAAAGGTTGTCTTCCAAAGAAGCAGTTCTTTCAATGGATGTGAGCCGTTGCAGGGGTCTATGAAGAGGGAGCTTGGAGGGAGGGTTTATTCCAACATCGTTGATGGCACTTTGGGTTTACACTGGTCCTCCTCCTCCTTTTCCTCCTCCTCTCCTCCAGTCCTCCTGCTTCTAGCGATGCAGCCAGACCTCAAACTCACAAAGGGGGCCCTTGAAGACTCTACGCAGCCTCATGAGAATCGCCAGACAGGCACGATTGTTCGGTCACACGCGTGTCCTCTCTCTTCTGTTGGGGGTCGGCGGAATGTCGAACGCCACCTGAAGAAGGAGTGGCCGATGCAAGATTCACTGTGCTGTTGTTCCGTGCTTCAGGGGGGGGCCCAACAGACAAGGCATGGGTAACTAACCAGGGGGGGGGGCGTGTACTGCAGTGGAGGGGGGAATGAGGGAGGATGGGAGAGGAATGGAGAGGGGGAGCACGCTTACGGTCCTCGACCACATGCTACCTCATCCATGCCATCCTTCTCGTCCTCATCATCCCCCCATCACTCCTGCTCCTCCTCTCCCTTACTTGTTTCATCCTCCAGACTTCAGCAACCACTTTCCAAATTAATGCAGTCCTGAGAATACGGCCGTCGCGACCCTCGGCTAAGACGTTCAAAGTGTTCATAGGGTGCGCTATTCTGTCACAGGCATCTCCCGCCAACATATGGCGTTCGATCCTTCAGATGGCTTAGTATGTTTGTGGCCCGCCTCCTCCTCCTCCTCCTCCTCCTCCTCCTCCTTCGACCTCCTTCATCATGCTCAATCCTGACTCCTCACACCTCCTTATTCGTTGTCTCCCTCTCCTCCTCATCCTACCCCCCACCGCCTTTCTCCTCCTCCTCCTCCTCCTCCTCCTCCTCCTCATCCTCCTCCTCTCCATATCCCTTCTCCAGCTCCTTCATCCTCCCTCTCCCCCTCCTCCATCCTTCAATTCACCACTCGCACCTATTCCTCGTGCCTCCTACTCCCCCTTTATCCTCCTCCATCCGTCTCAATCTCCCTCCCCCTCCTCCTCGTCGTCCCCTCCGTCTCCTCCCTCCACCTCCAGGCCATCCTCGCCCCTTGCCACCTATGTGTCTGGCCACCTTCTTCGCATACTGGGCTGGCGCCGGCAGCCGGATGGACATCCAGATGTTGAAATACAAGAAAGAGAGCCTCCAGAGCGAGGGAGGGCAGGGGACGAGGAAAGCGGAGGAGGGCAACGAGAGGGAGGAGGGGATGCGGAGGAGGGGAACGTGCATGATGAGGAAGTGGGCGGAGGAGGAACGAGAAGGAGGAGCAGGAGGAGGAGGAGGAATAGGAGGAGGGAGGTGGAGGACGACGGCGGAGGACGCGGGATGACGAGGAGGTGGGGGTGGAGGAAGAAGGCACAGGAGATGAGAGGAAGGAGCGTAAGCGAAGACGAGGGAAATGAGAAGGGAGAAGATGACAGGAAGGATTTGGAGAGAAGGGCGAAGGATGGGGCATGCTGAGGAGGGGGAGACTCTGCTTGGAACGCCTTGTGCCCGAGAACGCGAAACGTTGTTACATCCTCCTTGTTTTGACAGGAAGAAGAGAAGGAAGGACAAACGAGGATAGGGGACAGTGAAAATGAGGAGAATGAGGGAGAGGAGGCGAGAGAAGAAGAAAGGGCTCTGCTCAGCAAGGTCAGCTCCAATATCGGGCGCACCTCGCGCGTAATCCAAAAACCAACACGTGGCGAGTTGACGACGCGGCTGGGCAACAAGGCAGAACAACAACACCTGACGTGCCCCCCCCCTCCCCACACCCCAATGTCTTGGAAACTCGGGCGGGTGGTG